GGCCAAGCGGCAGGCGGCAGCGAGGGTGTACGCCAGGCGCCGGAGTGAAGGGCGACGATAGAAAGCGCGCGGTAGGCGGGACTGGTGGGGGGGGGGAGATGATGAGGGGTGGTGAGGGGTCGCGCCCGCCCCACACCTCCCACCGCAGCGGAGGGGCAGGAGGGCGGCCTCAAGGCGCGCGCGGGCAGCCACCCGGAGGAAGAGGCGCGGTGGCCCCGCCATGCTGTGCCAGACGGCTGGAGCTGCCGCTGCTGCCGCGGCTGCCGCACCCCCAGGGTGCCGCCAGGGCAGGGCCTCACAATGGTACATTCCCGCACACCCCCGAGAGGACCTCGACGCCGCCGTCGCCAGCCGTTTGGCCGGGAAGGAGCCACGTCGTGTGTGTTGGGGGGAGGGGGAGTGGGGGTCAACGGCCACCGTATGTAAGCCCGCCGTGGCAGCTGTGGGCGCGAGAGGCCGCAGCGAAGGTTCTGGAAACGGGCTGTGGGTCAGGCTGACACTCGGCCAGCAGCACAGTTCTTGACTACACAAAATTTCGACAAAAAGTCTGCAGGTATAGGGTCAAACGCCGGACTTCTGGCCGAACTTGGAAGGTTGATTTCCGATGATGTTGAGAAGGTTTTCGCTGCCACCCCCTTTCGTCCCACCTTCTGCCACTTCCCCGCCTGCGCTTGGGGCGCCTGCGGTTGACCCTGGCACGCCCCTGTCCCCGCACGCGCGCGCGAGACATACCAGGGGCCCTTCTGCCTCGCCACGCCCCTCGCCCTCAGACACAGCCAAAGAGTCCCCCGCCTCTAACTGTGGACTATCGGATAACAAAAACAAAACAAGAACTTTTGTGCTGCATGCTGCAGCCGTGCTTCAGATTTACATGTGGTCCATATACAGCAACTACTAGTCCTAGACCTTCAGCCGTGCTCTAGCTTCAGCCGTGCCCCAGCTTCAGCTGTGCTCCAGCTCCAGCTATGCTCCAGCTCCAACCTTGAGCCAGCTTCGGCTGTGCTCTAGCTTCAGCTGCGCTCCAACTTCAGATGTGCTCCAGCTTCAGCTGTGCTCCAACTTCAGCTGTGCTCCAGCTTCATCTGCGCTCCAGCTGCTCCCGCCGCCGGGCGCCGGGCTGGGTATGCAGTCTGCGCGCAGTGCGCACAGCGGGGTAGCGGGTTGCCTACCTCCGATACCACAGGCGCACTGGAGCTGAGGCTTGCACTGCTGCGGGCGCCAAAGCCGCCAAAGGCGAGAAAAATGAGGAAATCTTGGCGACAAAACGCGAGCGGGAGGTGTTTGGGAGAGGGGGGGGGGAGTGCTGCCTGCGGCGCGGCGCCGCGGCGGGAGCTCCGACAACAACATCATCTCGTTAAAAAGCGATTTGCCCTGAATGCTTTATGGGACGTCTTGAAAAATTTTCTTCCCACTGATGCCGCTTTGCGGCTCCGCACGGGCCGCATGGCGCGCCTATAGCTCGCCCGGGTCGCAATAAATCCGTGTTGGACAAGTGTTTCTGTGCGGCTGCCAGGACAGCCTTTCCTCTTTTCCTTTCCCCCTTCTGTCCCCGGGAGGTTAGGTGGGACGCGTGGGCGGAGAGGGGGCAGGGGAGTGACACCCTCATATAATAATGAGGGCACAGGGTGTTGAAAGTCCGACGGCCGCGGCGGAAATGCGTTTGGAAGGAGGGCGTGGGAGGAAGAAGGCGCGGCGGCTGATGGGTGTAGGTCAGTCAAGGACAAATAAAACGTAACCGAAACGAGACAAACGTGACATAACGTTCATTTCTGTTTTCACACCTTAACCGTTTTTTCGCCTCTCGTCGTTTCGCACTGCAAATTGAACCCCCCCCCCCCCCCTTCCGGCCACACTCCTAACAAACGGAGTATAACTAACGGAGCTTTTTTGAAAATAAATAATTTCTGACAGAGTGGCGGCAAATGGCGGTCGGGCTGCGCCAGTAGGACGAAGGGGGAGGGAAAATGGAATCGCCTCCTTACTATCCGCCCATAAGTTTTTCTCGAGTCTGTCTGAATGGCCGCGAGCCGCAGGACCACCCAAGCGTGGGGGGCGGGGCGGGGTGCCCGCGGCTCTCTGGGGAGCGCTCAGAGGGAACGGGGGAGGAGAGAGGAGAGCGGCCTCCCGTAAAGCAAGATGTCCCTCGCCGTCTCCTCGCCAACATTGCACCTCGTTAGCAGCCCATCGGGCAATAAAATGGAAAGGGGGGGGGGATCTACGGAAACGAAAATACGAGCGTTCTACACTGATCAAAAAGAGTGGCCGGCAATTACTGGCCAAGTACATGAACCGAAAATTAACATCAAAAACATTTATTCCCACACACTTTTCATTTGTTCTTTTGCGTTGATTCTTTGAATCTGATTTTTTGCTGAAGGTTGCGGGAAAAAAAATAAAAAAGTGAGCATAGAACGGCTCCAAAAGGGTAAGAGTGAAGAGGAAATAGATGAATGATACGAAGACAGGGACGGAAGGAGCAAATGAAAAAAGAGGCGCGAGCACATCGAGAGGAAGGGTGAGGAAGGAGGAGGGGCAGGGAGGTCGGCATGAATCCCTATTGATCTGCGTTTGCGTCTCCAGTCTGACGGAAAAGGAAAAGAAGTAGGAGAGGGAGCCCTGGAGGAACGCGCAGCAGGGCCCTCGGGATGGTGGGTGGGGCAGAGCCCTCCGGTAAATAGATGGCGAGGGGTGGGGGAGAGGGGGTCCTCCGACCATCCCGGGCAGTACCCTCCCGACCTGGTCACCATGCCACCAGCTGGCGGTTGTCCTTTGGCTAA